TAAGCATGACTAAGCAAGCTAGTAATGAGTTGTTAAGGCTAGAAGTGTGTTGGAAAGTCTAGTAAGCATGACTAAGTAAGCTAGTGATGAGTTGTTAAAGCTAAAAGTGTATGAGTTGGTAAGACTATTGATTACAAGACAAGTCTAGGACGAATGACAAGGAGTACTAGAAGCATGAGTTGTAAAAATTCTCTTATCCTTAGAGATGAGTTAAAATTCTCTTATCCTTAAAGATGAGTTATCGAGATTCTCTTATCTTTATTGGTGAGGTGTCAAACTCTCATAAAAGTACAATCTTGAGAGCAAAAAGAACAGGTAGTTAATGCAATGAATTTATCTATAAATAGGGGTTTAAGGGTCACTATTTATGCATTACAAAAAAAAAATAAATCTCTCTATATTTTTACCTAATTAAGCTTGAAGAAAGGAATCAAATTAAAAAGTAAGCAAATCAAGGTGAGTACTTATGTGATTTATGAGATACATGTATGCTATATATAGAAGTATTTTATGCATTACAAGTTATGTTGGCATGCTTTGTTTTATATGAAAATATTGATACACATACATATTCAAGATATGCATGATGACATGTTCTAATACGAGTATACGCACAAGACATAAAAAATCATTTACATGTTATCATATGTGTTACACAAGGCATGAAATTTTGTACATGTTATGTATAACCATAATATCCAACGTACGAGATATTACAAGAAGGAACATCTTGCAAACGGACCTTATAGGGCAGTCTTTTATGGACCCGGGGGTTAGCAAACCTCAAGACAATTATGGTATACATGCATGTGACAAGTGAGATCTCAAAAGAATGTTTTATGCATGATAAAGAATATAGTATTTTATGAGTGTTTATGCATGATAAAGAATATAGTATTTTATGAATGTTTATGCATGAGAATAAAGAATATTTTTATACATGATCAAGAGCTTTTATGAATTATCATTTACAAAATATCATGAAAATTTCTCATTCATGAAACTATAAATACTCATTAAGCCTATAGCTTATATATCTCATGTATGTATCTCAGGAAAGAAATAAGAAGAATTTGCATAAAGTATAATGGTTTTAGTTGAAAAGCAAGTTTTGTTGTAATACAAGTTATGGTTACGTTTCTGCTAAGTAGTTTCCTCTTTGATGTAAATTCAAGATATGTACTAAATAAAGCTAAATTTCAAGTTCAGATTCAAGAGTTTAATAATTTTATCATGTAAACTAACGACACCCAATATATATAGAGACGTGGGGCGTTACAGATGGTATTAGAGCCTTTGGTTTAAGTGAACTAAGATTTGTCTTGGATTAGGTAACTTAGACTTAAACTAAGGAAAATAACATGAAGTACTAGAATTTTATAATCATGTGTATAAAAGTTTAATAATTTCATATTTGTATCTCCTTTTAGATGGTTGATTCCAACACAGATTTCGACCCCGAGTTAGCCGAAATTGAAATAGAAAACATCGAAAATAATCCACCTATTGATAAAGACATAGAAGAAGATGAAGAATGGGAAGATGAAGAATGGGAAGAAGAAGAGGAAGAAGAGGAAGATATATCTAGAGATGAAAAAGATTTTCAAAGATGGATAACAAAAACTACATTACAAGAACGAAATGCACGTCTAAACCAAAAACAAAGAATCAAGACAAGAACCTTCCCGACTAAGGTAAAAGACAAATGTCTTTTTCTAACTACACAACTTAAGAAAATTTTTAAAGGATGCATAGCAACCCGAGTTGACTTAGACTGGGATGAAACAGGGATGGTGCATGACAAAGAATATGTGTTCAAAAAGTTATCTTATAAAATATGACTACAATATCGCTACCCGTGCGAAAATTTTAAACTAAAAAAAATATATGGAATAGGGTTGGATGAAGATTATGATTATTATCATAATTAGTTAAGGTTTGTATGATAAGTATATCCTTGTCACAACTGTAGCATAGTAAGGATATTAGACAAGGAAATTTTGTAGAATGTACTCTTCCTAAATTTTGACATATATCATATATATTTATAAGTGTTCTCTTATATATATATATATATATATATATATATATATATTTCAGATGAATGAAGGATACGAAAATGATTGGTAGAAAGAATTTCTTTATACTCTTCCACTGTGAGATCTTCTCACTTATGAACCAATAAACCCTCTCGGTCAAACACCACCGCTTATCGAACAAGTAGATGAAGTTCATAATGAGCATGTTGTGCCCGGATTAGATCCATGCAACGCTATTGTGATAGAAGACTCAAGTGAAGGAAATGGTCAAGAATATCAACTTGGTTTCCAATCACCCTTCCCTTGGGAGACATCAAAATTTATACCACCCATGGCGATAATGAATGAGCAACCAGAGGATGCTGAATCTGAAACTAATATAATAAATGAAGCCATAGTACCATCAGGATTAAGCCAAGCATATCTCAATATTTTTCTAGATAAAATAACTGAAAGTAATCATCAAACCGCAATAGCACAAGGAGAGGTACATGCTCAACATGTGTACATTATGCAATTGGAGAACGAGATAAGGCAAGCACAAAGAAACAATGAAAGCTTAGTTCGAATATTAGATCATACTCAGGACCAACTTAACCGTACACAAGAGGAATTATCTTGAAGTAATCAAGAGATTTCTCGTTTAACTAGCGAACTGTTGGGAGATCCTTATATGGAGGGTTATATAAGAATAATGTTAAGGGGTTATTACCCAGT